ATTTAATTTAATTTAAATCTGGTTGTTAGCTGTGCCTTGAAGGTGTTACTGTGTTGTTTAGCATATGGGGGTGTGGGGGAAAGAACACATAGGACAGTAGGCTTAGAAGATTTTATTTAACTCTTAGAAGGAAATTGCCTTAGACTTTAAGATCCATAGCACAGTTTACATGTATGCTACTGAATATTGCCAATGTTGTTGTGAGCAGTGTCCAACATAAAATATTTTATACATGTTCCTCCCTAACAGGCTGGAAAGCTGAAGGATGGTGCTCGTTCTGTGACCAGAACGATCCAAAATAACTTTTTTGATAGCTCCAAGCAGGAGGCCATTGATGTTTTGTTATTGGGAAATACCCTAAATAGTGATTTAGCAGATAAAGCACGGGCTCTCTTAACCACCAGCAGTTTACGCGGTATGTGTCTTTCAGGATTTTAATCTGTCTGATAACTATTTGGTGTAAGAGCTATTTGGAGTTTGTTTGCAAAGCGCTGTTGGAAAGTATAAATGTTGGTTTATGTTTTGCTGACTTATTAAAAAGTGAAATCTGCTTTACTAATATTGTGAAACTAACATGCTGCAGGAATTACTGTTCATAATTTGTGGGTGAAGCTCTACATCAAAATCAGAGAGATTTGGCTGAGAAACTCTGTATGCAGAGCAGCCATATATGGGACATGGGGGGGGTCTGGTCTCAGGAAGGATGTTCCCCTCACCACAACAGAGAGCTGAACCAGCATCCTGCATCTCCAGGGGTGTAGCCTGCATGGTCCCCAGGACTGCAGTCGTGTCCCGGCCTACCGCAGGTCTGACGGGCAAGAAAAGAGTAAGTGGGTCAGGTGTAGGGCTGTGTTCAGAGTAATCTCCTGCGATATAAAATACAGAGGAGCTCCTACTTGGGCAAAGAAGGAGCTTAAATTTGAGTCTTTTTCCAAGATTCCAGGTAATAGTCTTCTAAATGGTAGATTACTGCAATTTTTAGGGATTAATAAGTCTTAAATTTGTCTTGTAAATTTTGTCCTTCTCCTGGACACTTCTCAACCTAGAATGAGAAAAGTGTATCAAAACTTTGGTGAAAATCTCTGGCACAGGAAAAGAATTCTTGCCCAATTGTAGTCTTAATCTTGTGGGTCCTCGTCTTCATCCAATGTGGACCCTAAAAGGCTGTTTTTCTCCTGTTTCTTTGGCACAAGGTTTCAAGTTATTGGAAGTTTTCTTGTATCTGAAACCTGCTAAATTGGCCTCACCTCAAAATTAGTTGGATTAGTTTTAATTTCTTCTCACTTTATCTGAGAATACAGTTTGTCCTTTCAGTATTAGCAGCTCCTGGCAGCTCAGGAGCATTGATCCCTCTTCTCTGAACAGAATGTCTTTGCATTCTCTGCTAGGTGGCAAATTAACTAACAGGGCACTTCATCACGTGAAAATCCATTATTAATAAAGTATTAAAAGAGAATTTATTAATACTGTTTTGAAAATTTGTAGATTGTGCAGCATGAAAGATGTTCTTTAACTAATGCAAATGGTTATGTGTAATAAATTGTGTATTACAGCATGTTCTCTCACATATTGCTGGAAAATTTTAAAAAGCAGTAACTTATTTGACTAATTTTTTTCTTGTTTCCTTCTTACTGCATCCGTAGTTTCAGAGCAATCATTGCAATCAGGTATAGTATAGTAAACTAAGCTCTGACCAGCTGTTGTTCTTTTCTGGCTTCTTTCTGGTGTCTATTTGCATAATGTTTGGTTGTGGGCTCACATTTTCCTGGTAGCGTTTGGATCTGGCATTGCAGTAACTTATTTGACTAATTTTTTTCTTGTTTCCTTCTTACTGCATCCGTAGTTTCAGAGCAATCATTGCAATCAGGTATAGTATAGTAAACTAAGCTCTGACCAGCTGTTGTTCTTTTCTGGCTTCTTTCTGGTGTCTATTTGCATAATGTTTGGTTGTGGGCTCACATTTTCCTGGTAGCGTTTGGATCTGGCATTGCATTCAAAAAGCCCTTTAGTCCAACAAAAGAGAAAATACAGGAGATGGAAAATGTTGCCATTGTGCTTGAGTGTGAGTTAGGAAATGAGGCAACCAATTCTTAAGGGTCTATTTTTGCAAATGCTAGAGCTGTAGAGGAATTTGTCTTTTTATCTGGTTTGCGAGTTTCTGGATTTTTGCTTTGTTTAGAATAAGAGGTGAAATTCTTCAGGACAATTTGTAACTTCATCTTATTTGTTGTTAGAAGGCTCCACCTGCTTGTGTTCTTGCATGAGCCAAAGTGATTTTGCAGTATCTCCCAGCAATGGTTAATGTTGTACTGGAAGGATCCAAAATAACACACTGACACTTGTATTTTGTGGAGCAGAAGTCCAGTTAAACCCACTCACATACACAGTCACCTTTGCAGGTGATACAAAGTATAGTATTTAAGGATCTTGTTAGGTAAAACTGTCAGTGAATAGAAGGCCTGAAAAGGGAACTTTCTAGTCAACTCTTCTACTTGGAGACATTTACTGTAATATCTTGACCAATGCCTGTGACGTTGAACCCATTTCAGAGCATTCAGCAATACTGACTTTTCTAATTAATGTAAATTCTCCTTTTTGATGTTACTTCAGCTGTTTGCCTGAAACTGCACTGTTTGGGCAGATGTGATATATGCATGTTCTGAATTTTCAAGGAACTGCAAGTACCTGTCAGCTGTGCCACACTTCATCTCCTAGTTCTCACAAACTATTATTTAAAATATTCCTAATGCTCCTATATTCTAAATGTAAATGACTTTTACATTTGTCAACTTTGCTTTTTCTATTAGTGTTTTACTCTCCCTACTTATCTCTTTGTGAGTACCTAAAGAATGAAATCTGAGTCACAGGTAGGACATACCTGACATTAATGGTTCGCTGGCATTTTTCAGTGTTAAAAAGTGTTTATTGGAACAAGCAGTCACACTCTCACTGATGGTGTCACCTTCTAGCTTATAACCCAGGACGAGTGACATGAGTCAACCATTTTTTAGAATTTCAAGGTTTCACCTGGATATAAATCGCAGACATTGAAAGAATCATACAGGAATTTGGATATTGTAGTAAACCAGTTCCATCAAGTTCAGTTGCACAGAATGTCCCACAAAGAATTTTAAATTCCACTCCCTTTGTAAAACCAATTTCCAAATGTCTTCTTGCCTAGTAAAAACAGCAATTAGAGTATTTTTGCTGCAAAATAACAGAAAAGGTAATTGACTAGATTTTTAATGTTGTAGAGTGAGACACAATTTTGCTGAAAAAAGAAATAGCTGGAAATGTGTAGAGAAATAATGCTTGCAGGAGGCTCAGGAGCTCTGAAAAGCAATTGCTTCACTCAGTATTTTGGAAAACAGATGTATTTATTCTAATTTATAAAAAGAGCCATCCTACGATTCGAAAAGCTTGCTAGTATAAGGATGGGATTTTCAGGGTTGTGATAAGCATCTTCACTTTTAAAGTTATGGTCTGACCTGGTAAGACTTTTCACATTAGGGGTTGATAAAAATGTCAGGAGGTAAATAGGCAACAATCCAATTTTGCAGCTTTTCTTAAAAGTTGCTAGGTACCAGCTCTGAATGGTTTGGAGTAACTATTTAAAGTTAAGGTGAAAATGGCTAAATTCTCAAAAGCAAAAGAAGGAACTGGAGAGAATAAAAGTCCAAACTCTACTATTAAACTTGCTCAGGGTACTACAGAGGCTGATCTGTGCAGACCTGCCAAGCTGCCTGCGATGCTGTTTTGGTTTCCTGGGGCTCAGCTGGTCTTTCAGATGATTTGGGCACTTGGATGTATTGTGGCTCCAACATTTTTCTGGGATTGGTGTCCCTTCAGTGGTCAGGTGCTTGGGTAGATTCCCTCTTTGACCCTCGGAGGCTTTTCCGGCACGTGGTGGACTTCTTGACGTGAGTTACCTGCTGTGCAGGTCCATTCAGAAGTAGGCTCAGTATTTGCCTCTCACCTGAAGATCTAAAGTGTTAGGTTGGCTCCTTTCTAGACTCCATTTCCCTGGATTATGATGAGGTATGATCCCAAGCATGATCTGCTTGTAATACCTCAAGGAGACACCAACCAGTTCATTGTCTTCTGTCTGTGATGAGCCCATCTGTGGATATGTGGTTTGTTCAGCAGTGAAGGAGGCCACAACCAACAAATGCAATAGAATATTTTATTCTCTTGTTTCCAGTTGGTTTCAAACCCATGAGAGCCAGAGAATCCCTGATTTTTGTTTTGACTGGGTAGCCAAGATTCTGTAGCAGATTTAAAGGTGGTAAATTTAATAAGTGAAAAGACAAGAGCAGCTCACTAATCATCTTATTTTTGGGATTTGAATGAAAATACTGTGCCTGACTGTTTTGTAAGACAGCATCCACTGGAGGGAAGAATTCCACCTAATATTGTTTACATTATTCTCTCAGAGTCTCATAACCATGAGAACATTCAAAACAGGTAAATTGATCCCATTTGGGCAGAGTACCAGACCACTGAATCAGCTGTTTTGTTTCTGTGTGCCTCACAATGTCCCTTACAGATGGGTTGCTTCTCTCTCTCCCATCTGGCAGATAAAAACAAGGCAGAGAAAGTCTGGTGTGACAGAGAAATGAGTTTAATTGTTTTGAATCCCAGCCTACTTCCCTCCCTAAAGCAGGATTTTAGGAATTCAAATGACCTAAAAAATAATTCAGAATTGTGGCTTAAATAGACATACACTGATAGGATAAAATAATGTACCTTCTCTCTTTCAGTAATAGCAGTGTATCAGTAAACTTTACACTTACAGAAGTGACTATATCTGCAAGTTGGTTCTGTAATGGAGATTGGACTTCATAAATGTAATCTGTAAAAATGAGGTACATATCTGTGTTGTCATGTACAAAAAGTAATGGTTTCCATAGAAAATCACAGATAAAGTGGAAGAATGACAGATACAGATATTTATAAAACATGGAAATTCTGTTTCCTTCCTGTTTTATTTCTTTCTATGTTACTTTGAACAAATTGGTGCTGGTTTTCAGTCGGTCAGTGTCCTACCCAGACAAGTAGTATGTTTGCAAAGGTGCTTTCCCCAGTGGAAGCTTCGTTCCTCTGGCTTTCCCAGCTTGGCTCTCTCAATGTCTGTGCATGTATATGGGAAAGATCGCATTGCCAAGTTGCTGAAGAAACATTCTCTATAAAATCATGTCTTTTCAAATGTTTTTGCAGCATCTGTAAAAGTGCTAAAGAGTATGTGTGAGAACTTTTATAAGTATGCAAAACCGAAAAAGATCCGAGTCTGCGTTGGGACATGGAACGTCAACGGCGGGAAGCAGTTTCGAAGTATTGCCTTTAGGAACCAGACCCTCACTGACTGGCTTCTGGATGCACCAAAGCTAGCTGGGATCCATGAATTCCAAGGTGGGGTTTGTATTCTGTCATTTTCTTTGTGAAAACTGATTTTCATAGTAAGATCATTGTTAAAATAGGTCTCGCAGAATGGTCTGGGTTGGAAGGGACCTTAAAGCTCATTCAGTTCCACACCCTGCTCGCGGCAGGGACACCTTCTGCTAGACCAGGTTGCTCCAAACCCCATCCAACCTGGCCTGGAACACTTCCAGGGATGGGGCAGCTTGTGCCAGCCCCTCTCCACCCTCACAAGAAAGAATTTCTTCCTAAGTAAATAATTTCTTCCTAAAATAAATTTATATATGAGGTCTTGGTTCTTAATTAAAAAGGACAAAGATGTCTTCTCATGTGTAACTGCAGATCGCAAAAACAAACCTGTGGACATATTTGCCATTGGATTTGAAGAAATGGTGGAGTTAAATGCAGGAAACATTGTGAATGCCAGGTAGGTAATACAATCCATACAGTCCTAGTTTGGCTGATAGTCACCTTTTTTGAGTAAAATGTTGTTTAAAGTTTTGTTTTCTCCTGTTTTGCACAAGTTGGGATTAATCTGGAATAATATTTAACTGTATTCCGTATCTATCTCTCTGTTTCTGTGCCAGGATTGCAGACTTCATTTCAGCTTTCCTTAGCAAAGCTGTGATCACTTAGGTCATGTGTAGTGTAATCTCAAGGATCTGAACAGTCAGTACTTGACCATATTTTGGATTGCGCCTTCAGTAGCCCCTCAGGTTTTTCCTGCATTTAATGCTTTGGAGGAATTTAGCTCCAGTGCTTGCAGTGTTCTGTAGTCTCTGTGCCTTGCACTGCTGGGAACAGTAAACCCTGGGAAAAATCTTTCCAAAAGCATGTATTGCTGTCATGCCTTTGTATAATGTCTTGCCTCAGGCTGTGGTCTGTAAAAAGCAAGCCTTCCTTCCAAACTGCCACTTTCCAGTGCTATTCCATGTATTCCATGGATATCTTACTGTGGAATTGGGAATTTTCACCCGTAGCAGAGTGGGTTATGGGAATATTCCTGCTCTGAATGTTTCCTGGTGTTACACAAGCTTTAACCTGTTGGGAAGAGCACCTAAGGCCTATAATGCTGTAGCCTTTGCCCAGGCTTTTGTCTTGAGTACCAAGTGGCAGCTTGTCATCCCTTAATTTCACACTATGTCCAGTTAATGCTTTTACCAGGCCTGATATTTTTCATTTCTGTCAAATGCTAGCTCTGAAAACCACAGTCTGTTAGGTTTCCAAGGAAGTTTCTACTTGATCTACAACCATGGAATAGTTTTCTGCTATTGTCTGAGCTCTAGGCTAGGAAGTAACTCCCTATAAAAATTCTTAGGTTTTGCTCCTCTAGTCTAGGCCCAGAAACACAGGAAAAATCCCTGGCTCCTAACATTGTCTGTGGTGTTTGGAACAGTGAGGCAGCATTTTAAGAGGCTGAATTTGAAATGATGAGATCATGGCAGTCTAGAGCCTGTGTCTCTGCTAGGAGGCATTTGAGCACCATTCCCAGTTTGGCTGTGGCTTACTGCCCCAAGGTTTAGTTAAGGTTATGGGATGAAGTTCATTCAACTCAATCAACAGTTAGGAAGCTGCTTAATTTGATTTATTTTAAACGTGGCATTTTTGATCTCGCTGCTAGCACAACCAACCAGAAGCTCTGGGCTGCTGAACTGCAGAAGACTATATCAAGAGACTACAAGTATGTGCTGTTGGCTTCTGAGCAGCTGGTGGGCGTCTGCCTCTTCGTGTTCATCAGGCCCCAGCACGCTCCGTTTATCAGGTCAGTGGGCACACAAGCTGTCCCCAGCCTGGATCACCTTCAGCTTGCCTTGTGTGGGAAGCTAACATACAAGTGTACCAAGAAGCATGTGGCGTTGTAAAAGAACTGTTCTATCTTCTGGGGAAGTAACTGCTGAAATTCTTTTATCTTAGTTTTTAAGTACCTTATCAGTCTTGTAAAGCTGAACTTTTATACTGTTACCTGCTCAATAGCTGTTGGCATTTTTTAAAACCAGCCCTGTGGCCTGAAGGAATGGTGTGGTAATGTTCTCTTCCCAGCACAGGGTCACACTCAGACACACTTAGAGCTCTTCACTTCTGTCCTGTGTCATTGGAAGGTTTCATAGTTGTGTCACTCTTTAGGGATGTTGCTGTGGATACTGTGAAGACTGGCATGGGAGGAGCCACTGGGAACAAAGGTGCAGTAGCCATTCGGATGCTGTTCCATACCTCCAGCCTCTGCTTTGTCTGCAGTCATTTTGCTGCAGGGCAGTCCCAAGTTAAGGAGAGAAATGAAGACTTCGTAGAAATCTCTCGAAAGCTTGGTTTTCCCATGGTAAGCACCAGGGTTCAAATTCCAGAATGAATGAGGTGTTAAACCCTTGGAGCTCCCCCAGTGTCATTCAAAAGCTACATTTGCATTTTACCCCCTCCCTAGATTCCTGTGGAAATCAGATTTCCTTGGGTTAGAGGTCCCACAACTTTTACTGAAACAGGAGACTGCAGGAAGAATTAGACCTTTCCAGTGCAGTGACTGAGAGAGATGCTGAAGCATGAGTTCACTTGCATTAGGAATCAAGGATTTAGCACAGAAAAGAGACCTTACAGATCCCTGACATGCAGTAGAACTTTTGTAGGCACCAGAGTCAATCAACGGTGAGGAAGAAAAATCCATGGGAAACAGGGTTTTCAGAAAACAGGAATGATTTCTGCTAATAATTCTGTGACATGTTTCTCATAAAGAAATATCAAATGCCAAGTGAATACTTGAAAATTTTATCAATGTAACAAGATACTTCCTTGAGATTTAAGCTGGTTTAAATTTTGTAGTTCTAGCTGTCCTTAGTTTTTGCAGCCCTGTGCAGAAGTCTTACATCTCATTTTATAGAGGTTTTTTTTAAAATTTCTAATTTGCCCTCGTGGTCATGTTTCAGCTTTTCTAGAAAGTACTGCATTCTTCTGCTCTCCAGAAACAGTTTCCCAAATGCAGCTGGTTTAATCTGCCAGTGAATCTGCTTGGGTTTACTTATGGACAGTGGAAAAATCAAAACGAAGAAGTAGAAGTTCTCATGTTAAACCCTAGGCTTTGTTTAAACTAACAGAACCCTCATGTCTCTCCCTAGCCACAAAAATTGTATGTAGCTGAAAAGTCTTCAATTAAATCTGAATAATAAAGCCCATGATTTGCAGTTGTCAGGAGATAGTGCACAAAATCCCAGGGGAGTGTTTTGTTCTCCTTTGTAACATCTTTGTGACACAAGCAGCAGTCATCACCTTAGAGCAGACTTCTGCAACAAGAGTAGGAAGATGAAGAATTTTGGAATCCAATTGAGATGATTCATGTTTCTTTAGACGTGAAATACATAGGGAATGTTACTTCTGTCCTGTCCTGTGTGTGTGAACACCATTGGCTATTTTGGTCTAACCACAATGCACACTAAACACTGAGATGTATTTCAGTTGTCCTCATCAGCCAGAAATCATGTGTATTTTACAGTTAAAAACTGAACTTCTGCCCCTGGAAACAGTACATTTGCCACTGAGTTATTTTGAACTCCACTGTGTGCTACTGTTTTACAGGGAAGGATGCTCTTCTCCCATGACTATATTTTCTGGTGTGGTGACTTCAATTATCGAATCGATATGCCAAACGAGGAGGTGAAGGACCTGATTCGACAGCAGAACTGGGATCCCCTCATAGCAGGAGACCAACTTATCAATCAGAAAAATTCTGGACAGGTATCTGTCTGCCATACTGCAGAATATTTCATTTTCCTTTTTGATTTTAGCAGTTCTCCATGGTGCTTCTGTAAATCTGTATTCTCAGAATGGAGTTTACTGATTAGAATATTCTAATCTTCTTTTCATCAGGTGCAGCTATTTTAAAAAATATATTTGTAGAAATTGTTCTGGTAATCTTGCTCTTAAGTTGCTGCAGAAATAGGCCTAATGCTGTTACTGCTGGAAAAAGGAGTAGTCAAAATAGTAGCCTCTTTATTTACAAAGAAAACATGGAATAACAAAGTCTGAAGAAAGCTTCAGCTTTTCGATTTCTAGTGTTTCTTAGGAATATTTGCAGTGAGTTGAATTTTGTGTGTATTGTTTCTTCCCAGCGCTGTGTGGGAAGGCTGTAGATGGTGAAATGAGAAACAATCCTCTGGCATTGGTTCTGTCTGCTCGTCAGCACTTTGCTCATCCGCAGTGTTTTTCCTGGTTTTCCCTTCCCTTTGTGCTGGTGTCTTGTGCACTGGAACAGGAGTCAAAACACTGGATATTTGTACCTTTTTTTTAAATAGCCATTTCCTAGAGAAAATGAGCTGTACCTTCACATGGGCAGACAGCATGACTGTCTGTTAAGTGGACCAAAACGAGAGGTGTAGTGGTTTTGGGGACACTTCAGTAGCTACAAGGCTGGAAAGATCTATGGAAACTACCAGAATATGAAAAGGACTCCTAACAGCCTCCTGACTGGGCAGGAGAAAGAGGAGTGTTGCACTGTTGGGCTAATATTCCATGATGTGTAAGCTGCTGGCTGGGCAACATGCTGTCTCTGGGATTGCTCGGTGCTGTGGCATGTGGCTGGTCACCCTTGCACTTGCTGCTCAGGAAAGGCTTTTACATAGCAACTTCCTCCATAAAAGTGGAGTAAGAAGTAGTTACTGAAGGCAAAAAAAATCAATTGTCTTGGAAGTTGTGGAACTTCTGACATTCTGGTATTGATCTTCTGACACTGAATTTTAAATTGACTGGATTTCAAATAGTATTTCTAGCAAGAAGAGCAGGCCAAGATGTCATTTGAAGCAGATTCCACTGTAAGGTCTAAGTTAAATTTATATTTTATAGATCTCTGAAATGAAGTAAAACTGCCCATACAAGATTGAACTCAAGACTCATGCTGATTAAGCTTAACTAAAGGGTTTTAACTTGTGTCCAGTTTAAACACTTAAAGAGTGAGAAAATCCCTTGGCCTCCAACGGTCCTGTGTCTGCTGTCGGTGTCTGGCTGTGTGGCAAAGACCCTGAGTTTTTGGTTTCTTTCAGTTGACACTGTATCTCTGAATACTGTATGTACTTCTGGCAGATAATGTCACAGAATATCTTTTTAAATTCTGTTTTCCTATTTGCTTGAGAAGAAATGGTGATATTATTTCTAATGTTGCAGTTCATATTGAATGTATTAAGGACTCCTTATTTTTCCCTTTTTTTTTTCACTCCTATTTTTTGGTGAGGCATGCTGTGTCAGCTTTTCCCTAGAAGTGTTCAGGGTCAGGTTGGATGGGGCCCCTGATGCAGTGAATGGTATCCCTGCCCATAGCAGGAGGTTAGAACCGGATGATCTTTCAGGTCCCTTCCAACACAAACTGGTCTGTGATTCTGTGAATTTGGTGGAATGCTTGGCATGTTCAGATAGGTACATAAAATACACACCTTAATTCCCAAGTTCTGCTGACACAGGGACAACTAACCACCTAACTAAAGTGCTGTGTCGCAGTGCCTGTGTTCTGGGTGACCTCCAGCTCTGAATCACATTGGAGGAACAGTAGGTTTCTTGTGAGCCTGGGTTTAAAGATATAAATGTTGACATAGTTCTGTTTATTGCTGATTGTCTGGGTCACTATTTAGTCACAGTGGCAAATGTAGAATGTTTTCTGCAGATAAAATGTGGAGAAGGATTCATACAACCAAATGAGGGGGTTTTATTTTGAGATGTCTATACAGGTTTTCACCATTAGAATAGAGAATTCTGATTAGTTTCAAGCTGTTTCCCATCTGTTTCTGTCTCTGGCATGACACACAATTGCTTGGTTTCTTACAGATTTTTAGGGGATTTTTGGAAGGGAAAATAAATTTTGCTCCTACATACAAATATGATCTGTTCTCTGATGACTACGACACCAGTGAAAAATGTCGCACGCCGGCATGGACGGATCGGATCCTGTGGAGGAGAAGGAAATGGCCTTTTGACAGATCAGGTTTGAGGGTTTCCTTCAATTGTTTAAAAAGTTCTTTTAACTGGCTTAGACACTCCATTTAGTGACATTGACAGTGCCAGTGATTCTGAGCTTCTGTCCCTGACTTGGTAGGAGGCAGAGCCCCATCTTCAGTAAACGCGGTGCAGCTGAATGGACAGTCCCAGTTGCTGGCATTTCAGTAGTTCAGAAGAAACTTCTGCGATTCTTTTTCTGTAAAACTTTTTTTTCTCCAATGCAAATTTTATTTCCTTTTTTACAAATAGCTTATATTTTAAATAACATTCTTGCAGTCACTGTGTTTTTCTCTTTTTGTTTTCATCCCGAATGCAGCGGAAGATCTGGATCTCCTCAATGCAAGTTTTCACAGTGACAGTAACGTCCCTTATACGTGGAATCCTGGCACTTTGTTGCACTACGGAAGAGCAGAGCTGAAAACTTCTGATCATAGGTAACAGTTTTATTTTATGCATTGTTTCCTAAGATTTAACATTCTATTACTTGCTGACATTTAACATTCAGGTATATTTTGTTGCTCTGATACTCTGCTGACACTTTTTGTTGTATATTCTTTCCCAAGGCCTGTGGTTGCGTTGATTGACATCGACATATTTGAAATTGAAGCAGAAGAGAGACAAAAAGTTTATAAGGAGGTGATTGCAATGCAAGGACCACCTGACGGTACTGTGATGGTCTCCATCAGAAGTTCAGCAGAAGAAAACTATTTTGATGATAACTTGATTGATGTTCTTCTTCAAAAATTTGCAGGCTATGGCGAAGTGATACTTATAAGGTTAAAAAACCTTTTTACTTTTAATCTCTAGTCATAGAATCCTAGAATCATAGTATGGTTTAGGTTGGAAGGGACCTTAAAAATCATCCAGTTCCACCCCCTGCCATGGACAGGGTCCCTTTCCACTAGACTAGGTTGCTCCAAGCCCCATCCAACCTGGCCTTGAGCATTTCTTAGGATGGGGCAGGCACCGCTTCTCCGTGTGAAAGCAAACCAGTGAGAGAGACTCCAAGTCAGAAATAGTTTAATAGGAAAACCAATAAATGCAACAGTACAAAAAGAAACCACTGACAGAGTCAGAAAACAACCTGTCAGTCAGGGTGTTGTTAACAGTCCCATTAAATGGTGGCTGCAGTCCTCCTGGAGTGGTGGGTCTGCTGGAGCAGTGATCCTGCAGATCTGGTCTTCACCTGAAGGTCCAGCAGCAGCTCTTGTCCTCTGGGGATCCAGCAGGCAAAGGGCCCTGTGCTGGTCCAAACCCCACAGCTTATATCCCTGTGGGAATGCTTGGCTCCCCTCCCCATCCCCCATGTAGGAATGCTTTGTTCCCCCCCTTGGGGTGAAGCATCTGACAATGGGACAATGTAATTCTCTGCATGGGTCCCTGACAGTCCATGAAACAGAGACAGTCCCTGAGGAGCCATCAGGGGTGAGGAGATAAGGATCACTGCCCCACCTGCTTTAAGAGCCTGTGGAGAGGATAATAGAATACACACCATTGGTTACACCCTACACTGTAACCTAGGACAAGCAGCCACAGCTTCTCTGGGCAACCTGTGCCAGTGCCTCACCACCCTCACGGGAAAGAATTCCTTCCCAATATCCCATCCCTTGTCCTATCTGGACATGGAGCTGCTGGATCAAGTCCAAAAATTCCTTGTCATTGTTCCCACATTGTTCCTATTGTTCCTATTTCCTGATTAGAGTTACTTTCCTAGCAGGCATTTCAGTTATGATCTGCTTCATTTATAAAATTTAGGCTGAACTTTAATGTCTTTACAATTAGTTTTACATATCTGTATGTCTCAGTTTTCAAACATAATTTTTCCAGATACTCTTATATTTTTGAGCTAGAGCATCATTAATTTGATACCAATTTTGTATTCAAAAATTAGTTTAGTAACTTTAAGTGAGCTGAAAATAAGAGGATCCCTTTGAATAACATTCACATGCGTCTGCACTAAACTGTCAGTTGAACTGTTAAGTGATGTGGTATTTTGTTTGGTTATTCTTTCCAATGAACTTTGCAGGTTTGTGGAAGACAAGATGTGGGTAACATTTTTGGAAGGAAGCTCTGCTTTGAATGTTATGAACTTGAATGGTATTGAGGTAATACAAAAATTACTGAACTTTCTTACAACAAGAGAAAATGCATCTTTTTAAAGACTGCTTGTCTGGGGTGGGTTTGGGTTTTTAATTCATAGAAGTTTTTATGTTCCATATTAAGTTGTTGTGTACTTTTTTTATTATTCTTTTGATAGCCACGCAGGAATATGTCAAGTTTAAAAAGCCAGATGAAAGAAGTATCAAACTTAATGTATTTTTAGGAGGTGGACTGTTGAGAAATCAAGATCCCATACTGAGAGGTGTCTTCATCAGAGGAAGGGTTTGGGGGGTTTCATTATTTAAAAAGCAGAGTTTTTACCTTCAGTTTCTAGTATGAACCAGTCTAAGATATTTATAGCCTGCAGTTATTAAAAATTCAGCACTTCGGTGCTGCAGTCACTTTAAAATGTCACAATTTCAGCTTGCATTGACTTCTGCAGGACCAATGTTTAGTTTTTGTGAAAATTTAACTTTTTGACTGTGACTAACATATGTTCGTGCTAAGACTTGGAGTCTGCAGTGTTTGTGGAAGGATCCTCGGGTCTGCCAAGGGTGTCACTGGCAGTCCAGGCAGGATGGGGCCCAGGGTCCAGTGTCAGTTTGCAGAAGGATGACCTGCTGTGTCTCAGTCTCTAAAAATGACTTCATTAATGTGGTTTATAAGCAGGTCTGTTTCTCATGACAAGGAACAGTGCTTCTGTCATAATAAAGAAACCAGAAGCTTTCTGATTAACTAAAAAGAAAAATCTCATGAGACAAGTTGTTAGTTTTTCTATAGAAAAATGTTAAATAGTTGTAATTAACTGTTTAAATGACACAAATGTAGTTAATTACAAAAATAAAGTGAAAAGCATAATTATTTTTGTGACTTATCAGTGCCATTGTTTAGTCCCAGAAATTCTGATAACCTTATTTTTGACTTTTTCAGTTATTATTTTTTTATTTTTCAATCTAGACTGCTGAGTTTTAATGTTCCTACTCTTAACAATTTCTGTTTTGTGCTTACCTTTTTGCCAATTTAGCTACAAGGAAGGATTATAAACATAACCTTGAAAAACCCAGATTGGATCAGAAGTTTGGAAGATGAAATGAGTCTAGAGAAAATTAATATTGGGTTACCTTCATCAACAAGCTCCACTTTGCTTTGTGAAGATGCCGAAGTTACTGCAGACTATGATATGGAAGGTTTGTTGAGATAAAGCATTCCTTGGTTTGAAATGCTTACAGTCCTAAATAATGTGGTTCATTTAATGCATATATAAATACTTAACAAGCTTATACCCATATAAAACAGATAAATTGGAAATCACATTATTTCCAACAGTATCTTGTCAACTGGTTGAGCAGATATGCTTCACACTCTTCTCTGCATTTCAATATATGCTTCTTGTGTCCTTGGCAAGTGAAACAGCTGTTTTTTGAACAGCAGTGAAACCCACACACACACTCTACCTGCTGATACTTCCTGTGTACATTGAATTTCCATAGGGATTTCACAGGATTTGAATTTCTGTCCAAGCTCCTTAGTGACAAACGTTACTTTGCAAAAGTTTGAAGAAAAGAGGGGGCAGCTCTGTATGCTGGAAAGAGTAGGCTGAGGTGGTTTGGTGCAGGTATTTCATAAAGCAAAAAGAATTTTGGTAAGGGAATAGATACGAAAACCTGTATCAAAAGTTGGAATTTGCATTAGTCTCACTGTCATATGATACTTCATCTGTTTTCCAGTACAGGTGGGAAACAGGACTTGAGCAGTTTAGACACCTGTAGGATTGGTTGGTTTTACTAATAGACCTCCATGAAGTGGTATGATTCACTTCAGATGTGATCTCTCAAATGCCAAAAGACTCTTAAGAGCTAATGTGTTAACTCCTAAGAGCAGCCTGGTTACTGGGTTACTGCAGAGCAGTGCAGAGTTGAAGCTGGAACTTGTGTGGAATATTGTCTGTTGTTCATGTACCTGAAGAGAGAGAGACACCTACAAGTTATGGAAGAAGGGATTACTGTGGGTTTAGTGGTGTTTGGTGGGATAATTGCCTAGTTTAGGCACTTTGAATAGCAGCATAAAACATTCTAAATTGACAGTTTACTTTTCAAAGGCACATCCACGTTGAGCCTTTGTTTTTAGACATCCTTTTCAAGGAGAAGCTATTACAAATAGCAGATATCTAGAGATCCCCTGCCTGGACTTCTGAAGAACAACTGAAGCTTGCCATGTATTGCAAACCAAGGAAATCATTTTGGCAAAGGTCTTCTTTGTAAAGCTAATTCTTTCTTGGAATAGTCAACATTGCAATGGCCACGCTATTACAGTTACCTTTAATATATATCTATAGTATACATTGTGCATTTGGAGTATTTTCAGCTGGTTTGAATACATGTGCATTCTTCATGTGTAATTTTTATAATGCAAGAATCACCCTTTGGTTGTTGATCTAATTCCTTGGAACTTTAGGGCTTTTTACCTGAAATCTCATGGCCAGAATCAGTTTATAATTTCTCCACTTCTTAAGAGAAGTTACTATTGTTCCTTTTATTTTATCTGCTTTGTCTTTTTGGGGGGGTTCATTATTCAGGAGACATTGATGACTACAGTGCTGAAGTAGAAGAAATCCTTCCTCAGCATCTCCAGCCAACTTCAGGCTCAGGGATGGGAACTTCGCCAAGCTCTTCGCCACGTTCCAGCCCCTGTCAGTCCCCAACGCTGCCGGACGGCCCCGCGCTCCCGGCCAGGCCCAGCCGAGCCCCAGCAAAAACCCCTGGGCCACCTGTGTCCACACACAGTATGTATCACACTGCTGCTCTGCCTCTAGCACTGCTGTGCAAAACGTCGGTGCTAAACTGTGCACAGAATCCTGGCTCCCTCTGGTCATGCTCTGCTAGTACCACCTCTTTCAATCCGTGCTCTCGTTGGCTGCGGGATGGAAATTGTAATCAGCAGATGTGTAAATCGAGTGTATAATATGAAAATTTCTGTTTAAACACAATCTTTCCCTTTAATGGCAAAGTGAACGCAGTGATGGTGTTTGGAGTGGCTTTTAGAAGAGTTTATTTCAATGTAATTTAGAGTAACTTTACGTAGACTGCTCAAATGCCTTCAGAATTCCCTTTGTAGCTTTTTTTGCCAGAGGACTTAGTTCAGAGATAAGGGTCAAAATCAAATGGAATGCTGCAATTTGTAAGAATGTTCAGGATTTCTTGAAAAGCATAAACTTATTGAAGCCCATGAGACCTAAATCTTGGTGTAGGAAATCTGCTTCTTTTCACCACTGGTCTGTTCCTCTTGTTTTCCTTCTCTCAAAAAGTTCTGACTCATTGTTTCCAGGAATGAGTGTCCTCTATGTGAAAAGAATTTGCTATTAGAAAAGGTTTACTGCGATTAGAATGAACAAGGGGTTAATTTCTTCATTGTTTTTGTCACATCCTTCAGCTGACTCTCAGGTTGGTGCCCAGCAGAAAGAGTCTTCTCCTCAGAGCTTGGAGCCGAAGCGTCCTCCCCCACCTCGTCCTGTGGCTCCTCCTGCACGTCCTGCTCCGCCACAGAGGCCTCCTCCACCCTCAGGTAATGCGGTGACCTAGATCAGCTGGGCAGGAATATTTTTTCAAGTCTGTGAGATGAACTTTAAAGTCCAAACCCAAACTGCATTTTATGTTGTCAGTTTGGAGCTCAATGGAATTAAAATGTTTGGTTAGTACATTTAATAGCAATAACAGCGTGGGAAATAACAGCATTTTTCAGGACCATTTAAATGTTATCTGTGAGTAAGTCTTTTATAAACTTATTTTCACAGTTTTATAACTTTGGGCTTCCTACATCAATGTTTACTCAACATTTTCATTTTTATAGCTTCTTCATTTTAAAAATAAAATGCAAATAATCCTGTGCATTCATTGATTTATATTCCTTTAATTTTGGCATCAGTATGTGTGCATTTTATCATGTCCAAGTTTTTAATGTAGACCTCATTTGAATCATCTGAAAATGGGAACAGTTGAGCACTAAGAGAAACTGGATGTTCAGAAGCATAGGGGCAACATAGTTAATCACAAACTGACCCATGTAATTTTTAACTTTCTCATTCTTTTTCTTCCTTCCTACTGTACTGACATTTTTTCATTATTGCTGCATTCATTTCTTAAATACTGTAAGGCGGTAGGAGTCCTGCACCTGCTAGAAAAGAATTTGGAGGTAATGATTTTAATTGTTTTCCAGTATGACTGCATAGCAAAACTACTGTGGTGAATTGTTGTGACAGTACATAACATGATGATTTCTCGAGGCCTAAAAGTGGGTAATTCTCAAAGTTATAAATTTGGATAATTCTTGAATGTCAATAGCATTTCCCCCTCTGAATTAAATTTGACTTTTTAGTGAAATAATATTTCTTCAGAAGTTGGTACATTTTAATCAAGGAGATGAAAACTGTTCCAGGTTTTTATTACTTTGTCCTGGTCAAAATACATTCCAGCTGACTTTTCTGTGAGAGCTGGAACTTGCCTTTAGCTGTGACAAGGATAGCTTTTCTCCTCACAGGCCATTACAAGGAGCATTGTGAAATAGCTTGTGATTGTAACTACTTGCCATGATTATCCATTCATTAGTTGTCCAAGTTGAAGCTACTGCTGGTCTGGCCCAGTTTCTCCTGGGAAATCACCAACTAACAGAGAGCTCCAAATCATGGAGCTATATTTGTCTCTAAGCTGAACACTGACATATGGGTAGTGTGTTTTCTGTTTCCAAGTCTGGAATGTGCTCCTAAGTCTTTCCTTAGAGACATGAAATGTCCTCCATAGTTCCTGGAACTCGTGTCTACTTCAGAAGCACAAACTTAGCAAAGAAATTTATCCTGTTACTTTGAAGGCACTGGAGAGCTACAGGTCTTTACAAAACAACAAAATCCTGAAATAATGCTTGCCTCTTTCCTTCCCTTTTGATAATGCCAAGGGCCTCATCAGACCTTCAGGCTAGTTTTGTGTTTTTCCAGCTTTTTGTGGCTTTGCATATAATAACTCACACATTCTCAGAAGTGCTTCTTCTTGAAAGTAATCTTTGTCCTTCTTTGTCGCACGGCTCCATAGTTGAGCTGTCCTTCTTGGGCCTAAATCAGCTCCTCATGAGTTTAAATCAGCTCATGGGATAGGCTGAGAATTGTAAGTGGCTCTGAAACACTTCCAGACACTGATACTCTGTTAGTAGGAAAGAGGTTTTTGTGAGAAAATAGAAGTTTTGAGCAACATAGTCTGTAAATATCAGCTAGCTTATTCTAATGTAAAACAAAAATGTATGTGGCTCTGAGACACTGTTGAGAGGAGGAGGTGTTCATGCCAAAGGTATAGTAGTTCACATGAGTTAAAATGCTTAAGTTTTAGGAAATAGTTTATATATCACAGTCAGCCTTGAGGAGATTTAATTCATTGTACTTGAGTCCTGTATAGTCTTACATGCACTGACACAATCCTGTTTGCCTAGTTTGTCTCAATTGTGTAGACTAGTCTTTTTTTCCACTACATAGCTTAAAGAATTGTGACTTGCATAAAACTTGCTTTTTATGCAATCATTTGAGACTGTAGTATAGTTTTTTTCATATATTGACCTGACCTAAAGCTCTTGACTTTCTCAGTCCTCCTCATTTTCCACTCATGGTATAGATGTATAATGCATAGTCCTTTGCTTCTGAGCAGTACCTGAGCTCAGCCCTGAGCAAGCTAGCACGGGGCTGGACCCAGAATAACTGTCCCAGTGGATGACTCTGCCTGGGGACGTGGCACCTGTTTCTCCTAAAGCACTGTGACAGTGTCCCTGTGTACTGTATAAGTGGATCAAACTCTGGTGTTGGACTTCTGAAAGGGACACTGAGCACATCTTTAAAATGTTGTGCATTCTAAATGTAACTCTTTTCTCCCTCATGTGTTTTAACCTTTGTTTTTCTGAGTACTTCACTCCCTTCAATGCCCATAACATTTTTTTCTAATGGCTCAGAATGCTTTGAAGATGAGAGGAGGATTTGGGCATCTAAGTGTTTCAGAGTTTAGTCATATTTTATATCAGAAGTATCTTAGAATTCAAGGGGACAAGGCTCTGCACTCACTGCAGGGCTGTACAAAATTTTGTATGCTAATGCAAAAAATTTCACTGAGGGATTCTATGAGCTCTCAGTTGTTTACAGTTAAAAATTAAATGTCACACTGTTTACCCAAGATTGTTTTAAATACATTACTGATTAAATTCTTACGGAACATTAAAAGTCATAAAGGCTCCTAATTGTCAATTGAAGTTAAAATATAACATTGATGGGGGTTTTTCCCT